GGTCTATAACAGACTCCCACCAGGATATCTGCCTTGTTAGCCTTCCCTCTGATCTTTACCCATAAGCACTCAACCTTATCATTACCTTCGTTGAGTTCTAGACAATCAAAGCACTCTCTAACATACAAGGCTACCCCACCACCTCTCCTTCCTTGCCTGTCCCTTCTAAAGAGCTTGTAGCCGTCCATTGCAGCACTCCAGTTGTGTGAGGCATCCCACCATGCTTCCGTGATGGCGACCATATCATAGTTTTCCTGCTGCGCAATGGCTTCCAGCTCCTCCTGTTTATTGCCCATGCTGCGTGCATTGGTGTAAATGTACTTCAGTTGGGCTACAGATCTCTTCTCCAACACAGGCATGCCGCCCCTAGGCTCATCCCTAGCAAGCCTGGTTTTATCCACTTCCTCCCTCGCCGCCCCTAGGCTCATCCCTAGCAAGCCTGGTTTTATCCCCTTCCCCCTCCGCATCTAGTTTCAAGCTCTCTCAACGAGGCCAGCTAACTCCTGGGCCAGGATCCTTTTCCCCCTTTGTGACAGGTGAACCCCATCTGACTCCAGCAGGCCTGGTGCCATGTAAACTGTCCCATGATCGAAAAACCCAAAATTCCACCACTGGCACCAGCCTCTGAGCCACGTGTTAATGAGATGGGTCTTCCTTGTCTACCACACTGGAATTAAACCAGAAATTAAGTGTGATGCTGGAGCTAAAAAGTTTCAGACTAAAATCTGTCTTCTCCAGAACAGGAAAAATCTTGAGTCATATTTAGTTATGGTAAGAAAGGCTTCAGGCGTCTCCTAGAAAAACGGCAGATACTTTAAATTTAAACAAAACTGTACTTTTATGGTCATTTTGATTATGTTCATAGCATCATACTTCTAGAAGGAGATTGCAGAAAACGTCAAAAAGTATTCCAGAGCAAGGTAAGAAGCCTGTCTCCCAAGGCTCACTTCCAGCCTGTTACCTTTACGAGCTGAAATACTGCATTTGTTCTCCACTTAGTAGCATTTTAAGGTAAAGGACAGTAAAGTTATCACAGCAAAGAGGTAACTAAGAACTAATTGGACTCTTTCTAACTAAATGAACTTTGTAAACTTAAAGCTTTATACTTTTCATATACAAGATGAAAATGTCTTGGGGAAACAAGACAATAAGAGTTGTTTTGCAAATAGTTACTTTCTATTAAATGTACTGGATCATGGAGCTGTCAATGAAAGCACTGCTTGCTTCTCTACAATGCAAAACACATAAATTTTAAAATGGTTGGTTTTCTTAGATATGTTTACTGCTTCTCTCCATGCCATGGTTACACAGATAAATAGAAATCAAATGCATAATTCAGGCATTGTGAAACTTAATGAGAACACTGAAACTGCTTCACAGGACCACCCCACACAGGAGCTCAAGAACACATCAGCTACACTACAAAATTTAAGACGACACAGTAATGTCATTTCAACTTTTTTTGATCATAACGTACCAGTCAAATACATTTCTTTATGCTGAGCCTTGTTAAAAGCTCACAGAGCACTTAAACGCTTGTGGTTTTGGTCCGACTTCAATGTGAAATGTCAGATGTTATAACTAGCTACTCTTTGTTTTTAAACAGAGAAGAATAATCATTTATTTCATAATTTCACAGTCCTGAATGTTAGCTTAGTCACAGGTACTACGAAGGGATGAATCCTAGTTACTAAATAACTCATGGAAAGTTATTCAGCACAATCCTTGTCTTCAGAGAGGCAGTGGAAGGCAGCTCCAGTATTTGAGTTACTGAATAACAGTTGTGTATTCCACCGTGTGTTACCATCACGGCCATACCCAGCCCCCTTTGGAGATCCTGAACCCGGAGAAAAAAAACAGCAGGCCTGTACAACCGGCCTCCTGAAGTGCCCGCAGCCATACCACCGCCGTCGGGGCCCAGCTAAAC